GGCAGATGTGAAAGAGCATTTCTTATTATGGGAATGGTGAAGAAATTGGTGTGAATAGTATGTGAGCTTTGGCCAATGTGTGTACGTATGTGGGTGGGTGGCAGAAGAAGGGCTCTAGAGTGAGAAGAGAACAGATGAAGACTAGAAAGGTAGGCAGGGGCCAAATCATGGAGGACCTTATATGCCATGCTAAGGAATCTTTACTATTTCCTGTGGATCAGTGGTTTTCAAATGATGATAGTAATCCCTTGGTTCAAATGAAACCTTGCTTGGAAGCATGAGTAAATAGAGACAGAAGAAATATTTCTCTGATTGAAACAGATATGTGTGGGTGCAGGGTCCTAGAATCTCTACACGTATCTCCCTCTCCCACATCTTTTCCCTCTTCGCTGCTCTTGCAGGGAACTTTGGGCAGTACAGTTTGAAAACCACATCCATGGAGCGTAGGGAACCACTAACATTTTTTAAGCAGAAAAATGGATGACATGATGAGATCTCTGATGAGACAGATTGTTAGGGAGGATAGACTGAAGAATAAAAAGGCTTGAGTAAGGAAAAACAATTAGGAGGCTATTTTAACAGTCTGAGAGAAGCTCAACCTTAAGCAGAGACCATGGGGGTAGAGACAAGTAGATAGGTATGAAAGACATTTCTAAAGGTTGCATTAACAGGAGCTAGTAGACTGATTATAGTAAGAATGGGAGGAGGGAAAGGTTGCTGGATGAGGAAGGAAGAGAACTCAAGGATAATTCTGTGGTTTCTCACTTAAGAAGCAACCAACTATAAAGGAAATCTCTAGTCTAATTTCTAATAGCCAGCTCATTTTCCTTGAGTTTTCATTAACTCAGATGAAACCAAAATGTGATCACTCATGCCTGGATCTATTTTCCTCAATCTTTCTTCATCTGAGACTTGACTTTGCTAGTAAAACCCTTTTTGCTGTGATCATTGTATTGGCTACAACTGTGTTTGTCTCTCATTGGCGGGGCAGTGGGTAGCAATTTTTTTTTTACGAATCTTTTTACAAATTTCTTACACGCAAGATATCTTCCAAAAGTTCATTTTTAAGTTATTTGGAACTCAGAGTGCATTTTCCCATAGAAGTGGCATTATGCATAGCAAGTAGGTCCCCAGGCCAGTCCACAAGGGCCATTTTAGCCCATAATATAACTGAAAGTGTGGATTTTCATAATGGAAATTAGTTGGAAATAATACTGATGCAATTAAAATGAAAACAATAGTTGAAAAAAATCATGTGGGTTTTTGTTTCCCACAAGGGCTAGTACTTGATGAAAAGCAAGTTTAATCTGAGGAAGACAAAGAGAAATAGATGAGGATTTCTGTGTAAGTTGGATGGCACAGCTTTTTAAATTTATTTTTTAAATAATCTTTTGGAGGGTTTTTTAAAATAATAAAAACAATTGTGTTCATTGTGGAAAATTTGGAAAATTGAAAAAAAAAGTTTTAAAAATTAAGTCGCCAATAATCCTACCACCCAGAGAGAACCACTGTTAACATGTCGATGTGTTTCTTTTCAACCTTTTTCTTCGTACATGTATTTTTAAATCAGTCCAATGATATTAACTATAGTGCATCCACACGATAAACTATTATTCACTCCTTAAAATGATATTTATGAAGAATTTTTAAAAACATCAAACAATATTTATGATATAGTGTTGAGTAACAGGCAGCCTTGCATTTGATACCTACATTAGGGACGAGGGCGTGTAAGCAGATCAGCACTAATCAACCAGGCAGGAGTCGTCTGTTAGGCTACCAACCAAGACCCTCCACCCTCAGTCCCACTCCCCCCCAACAAAAACCACAGCCATTCGTTTTGTACAAATTCAGAAGAGGACATATTCACTCTTTGAAGTGCTGTACAGGTTCATAGCACTGGCTCCTTATTACTTCTGATTCTCCTTCAAATTACAGGGCTTCCTTCTCCCTTGCTGCGCTGTATCACTAGCACTACTCAGGCTTTACAACTATAAATAAGGTCATTTTTTTGATTCATAAATGGAATGGAAAGAGGGGCATGCATTTCCACAAGTAATTAGGCATGGATTGAAGAGAGGTGAGAAGGCCTTGGGTAGAGATATATGTGTACTTGTGAGGAACAAGATTATATGGAGTAGAATGTATTGTGCTAAGAATGGGGAAAGAAAACTGAGAAAATGAAACAGTATAGCTTGCAGAGAGACCTAGGGAGAGTGGAAAGGGAAAGAGATGTGTTTGTTTAGGACTGTGCTTGGCTTCAGAGCAGAAAAAAGCATGCAAAGGACAGAGAGTTTGGTGGAATTGTGGCCAGCTGAAATAAAAGAGTTTTAGGAGGAGGCAACAAACGTAATTTGCAGTAACCAATTTTCTTTTTTCTTTTTTTGGGTGAGGAAGATTAGCCCTGAGCTAACATCCATTGCCAATCTTCCTCTTTTTGCTGAGGAAGATTAGCCCTGAGTAACATCTGTGCCCATCTTCCTCTACTTTGTATGTGGGATGCTGCCACAGCATGGCTTGATGAGTAGTGCGTAGATCCACACCCAGGATCCGAACCTGCGAACCCTGGGCCGCCGAAGCAGAGTGCACAGACTTAACCACTACGCCACCAGGCTGGCCTCACAGTAACCAATTTTCTTTTAATAAGGGAACAAAGATGACTTGTGAGGACAGGTGCTTCAAGTGCTAATCATCCAAGAACTAAAAACACTCTTTGAACTTAATTTAATCTATCTGCTATGATTGTGCATCATTTGATTTTAGCCCACTTGATGATTTCCTAAAAGCAGTTTATGCATTCCTTTTCTATACTATCTCCTTTTAGAAAAGACTAGGTTTGCCACTGACTTGTATTTTGGCATCAAATTCCTAATAGCTGCCACCTGCGTTTGCTGTTCATCAACAAAGGAACTGAAAATTAGAAAGGAGTGAAGAGTGGGGGAAAGGAAGGTGTTGGTTTGTAGGGGGAGTGTTATTTACATGTGGGTATTTTAATGTACTGGGGAAAAAAACAGAAAATTTCATCGCACTGTAGAAACTTGGCATTTTAATTCTCACCTATCACTGTGCAAAAGAATCCCCCTCTCTGGGATTCTGTGGTTCTCATATTTGGTGTACTTATGATGTACAGATTCTGAGTTATTAAGTGGGCCGCAAGTCCTTGGCCAGTGGTTCTCAATGTCGGCTGTAAATTGGAATCTTCTAGGGAGCTTAAAAAATATGATGCCTGGGTTCCATCTCCAGATATTTTTATTTAATTGGTTTGGGGATGAGAACTGGGCATGGGGAGCTTTTAAATCTCCTCAGGTGATTCTCATGTGCAGACAGGTCTGGAACCTCTTTAGCCCATTCCTTAATTACCTGGGTGGATTAAACCAGTTCTCAAAGCGTAGTGGAAGCAGCAGCTTTAGCATCAAGAGGGAACTTGTTAGAACGCAAAATCTCAGGCTCCTCTCCAGCTTTACTGAATCAGAAACTGAGAGTGGCACAGGAATCTGTGTTTTAACAAGCCCTCTAGGCGATTCTGGTGCATGCTGTAGGTTGATAGCCACTGTGTTAAACAGTCCTTCCTAACCCTTTCTAAAGTACATCCGTGGAGGTTTCTGGAAAGGAGAGATGTCCTCACCAGCTGATGAAAACTGGCCTGGGAAAAGACTTTGATAGAAATACTTTTAATAGTAATATTAGGGGCCATGGTGGGAAAGGGGATGGTAATTTCCTGCAAAGCCCAAGCAAGTTCAGAAGGGAGCATGTCTTCATAATAGTTAGAGAATTGGTCACATAGGCAGGCATAACCCTGGTGGCAGTACCTGCAGGAAAACTCCTACTTATCCTTCAAGATCCCGTTCAAGTGCAAACCTCCTCTGCGAAGCTTTCCCTGAGCTCTGGTGTAAATTGCTTCCTCGTATTTACTTAGCACTCGCTATGGTCCTCTATTAGCTCTTGTCTCACTGTATTGTAGCTATCTATAAGTCTCTCTCCCTCACTAAATTGTGTGATCTTTGAAAGCAGGACATTCTGTTATTCATCTTTGGATCTCCAATGACTAATATGATACCCGATACATACGTAATGCTCTAGAATTGTTTGCTTAGAGGAGACATGAAGAATGGCCAGCTTTTTTGGCTCTGAAGAGCCTTTGAAAGATGGGTTTACCTTTGTGGATTAATCATGATCCTGGGTCCGACTCTCTGCCTTGAAGGCTAGGGCCCTTGATTCTGTCAGCACACCATAAATTGACGTCTCTCAGTGGTGGCCTTACACAACAAAGATCTCAGAGATGTATTAGCAACTTATTAGTTTACAGTAGGATACAGGATTGTCAGGTTCCAGGACTTCTAATGTCAACTTTTCTCATATTTTCTCTTATTATAGGTAGACCTTCATGGGAAATCTAATTAAAATCTATAGGGATACATCTGTCACAGGACAAAAGTACTTGAGTCATTGGGCCCCACAGGTTACCATCCGGGCACTGCCATCTTCTGGTTCTTTGTACTTCTCTAATTCTGTAATATAATCTATTCATCCCTGGTCTGCTCACAAATGTTCTTCAAACAAGAGAAACACTTAGTAAATTACAATCACTTTTGCAACTCTGCCTTCTGGAGGTTATACTCAGGTCAACATGATTGGATGTATGTGTGTTCCCCAACTCTTTAGAGTCACAGATTCACAGGCAATCCCTTGGTTTAATTTCCTAGGTGGTTAATTACACATTCTTTATATATGGATTTTTACTAGCTTAACTCTTAGAAGACAACCTTATAGCCTTATTTTCAAGTTTTTTTGGGGAGAGCACCTCACTGTCACCTCAGTTACTGCCCAGAGTAATAATTTCTAAATGTTATAGAAACTTTGAAATATGTCCGTGTTATTCTCTAAAATGGAATTTTTCAGACCCAGAGTATAAACCAGAAGAAACTAGATTTGTGCCTTCTGTGCTAACCCACAATCCTAATATGTATGTACTGAATCGATTTTTCTATTTTTTTCTATAGGCATTATATCTGATAGCCACTAATGGAACCCCAGAGCTCCAGAATCCTGAAAGACTCTCGGCTGTATTCCGTGACTTTTTAAATCGCTGTCTTGAGATGGATGTGGATAGGCGAGGATCTGCCAAGGAGCTTTTGCAGGTGAAAATAAAATAGGACAATTACAAATAGTCATTATATTGAGCTTTTCCACCTCAGTGTGTGAGAGCAACAGAGCTCTGTCAAGAAATGTCTAGTTAAAGTTAGGCTATAACCGTTTGATTTTAGACCACAGGCACATAAGTATAGGCTGCATCTAATACATGATTCCTTGGCATGTTGCCTTTCTTCTGAAAAGTTGGCAGTTTAATCTATAAATCTCTTTTGTTCTTCCTGGAGTCTTATTTTGCAAGGAAAAAAAACAATGTGAACCTCTGGTGTTGCTGTTTTGTTCTAAACTTTACTTGTGCCCCTGGATGTTGTATGCAGGTGCTCTTGGCTGGAGGTAATTCTCTACATAACTATGCAATTATTTCCGTGGCATTTGCTACTCTAATGCTTTACTGGTCAAAGCCCCTTTGCTTGTGATGCCAAATGGCAGGCACCTGCTTGCCTGGGTGAGTACCATCCAGTGGTGAGTGCCTCTGTAACCATTTGTCCTTTTCATGGCTCTCAGGGATTAGTATATATGGTGATAATTAGTACGTATTATGTACCAGATTCTTTACACACATTATCTCATTTAATTCTTACAACAGTTCTGTAGGGTAGGTGCTATTATCCGATGTTACAGATGTAGAAATTGAGGCTTATATAGCTATTGAGTTGGAGAACTGGGATTTGAGCCCTGTATTGTCTGCCTTTCTACCACACAAGCCAATTTAGAGAAAAAGATGTGTTAATATTGATAAAGTAACACATACCTAAGATTATTCATATAGCTTCACTGCTGGGGACTGTTTTTTGCGGACATGCATCAAGCTCTGTAACATCCAAGAACAATGACTGCTTGTTCTCTCTGTGACTTTGAACACATAATCCAGTTAAATAAAAGGTGCAATACTTGGTTGTACAGAGTGTTAACCACAGGTTCAGTCTGTTCTAGGCAAAAAAATAAATCTGTTCCCGTTGTTCCTGAACTCCCTCCAGAGACAGAGAGCCACACCCAGGCAAAAAATATCCCACCCCAACCCAAATCACATCTGGGATAAACGGATTTGGAGGAATCGAGGAGGCTACACCTTCTGTTTTCTGCTACCTGTGAGCATTTCACAGGCTGTCATAGGGCCCTAAAATGTCAAATCTAGAATCACCCTTTATTAATCCTCTAGTTAATCCAATCTCAAATTACAGATGAAAACCCTGAACTTTTGAGTGCTTCCACATCTTTTCACCCATCCCACCACCACACATATACATCCTGATACACATTCCAAGGATGAGTGAAGATATAGATTGTCTTAATGTAGCTATACAGTTACATACATAATTGAATCAGTTATCTAGTTAATTCCTTCCCCAACAATACTTTTATCTGAACCAGTCAGATAACTGATACAAAACTATATTTTGAGTGTAAATTGAATTTTTTTTGCATCTATTCATTTTATACATGTTAGCAATAAGCTGTATATTGCCTAAAGTCCATGTAACTTCCTTCTCGGACTCTAGCCTATTGTTGCCCATTTTAGAGGTTAGAAAGAAGAGAGATGCATGACACTCACACCACTGGAATCCTTGAGAAAAGGCACAGGTCTTGAGTATTTGTGAGCCTTTCTATATGGCCAAAGTCAATTCTGTGTCCATCAATTCTATTTGTAAGGCTTAAGTGCAGTGGGTGATACAAACCTGTTAAAGGCATGATTCCTACTCTCCGGAAGTTTGTAGTCTCCTTAAGTACATGAAAAAATAATGCAAGCTTGTTTAGAGACTCATTTAAACCAAGTGACTGATCAAACAGTAAATGTCTTGGTCGATTAGAGAAACACTTCTATAGGCTATGACAATCAGAAAATGCGAACAGGAAGGAGTTCTGCTGGGCCTTGAAGGACAGATCAGTGTTAGATAGGTTGAGGAAAAAGGGGGAAGGAATTTCAGATGGAAGGGTTATAGTGTGACCAAAGGCATAAAGGCAAGGTTTTAAGGGAACAGAAAATAGAAAGTATAGCTGAAGTAAAGAGTTCAAGTAAGGAAGCTGCAGGAGATAGGACCGTAGAGGCCCTTGAATACCAGGCTAAAGAGTTGGGGCTGTAGGCAGTGGGGAAACACTGAAGATATCTGAGGAAACACATGATAAAAGCTTTGTTGAGCAAGATCAATCTGGTGGTGTGCAATAAGAATTAGCAACAGGAACAAATGGAGGCAGGAAGGTCAAGGGAGAGTTATTGTTATAGTTTAGGATTAAGTTGATTAAGCCTGAACTAGGGAAGGCAAGAGATAATTGTAGGAGGCATTGAGAAGAAAGTACTTGGTAGTTGATTGCATGTAGAACATAAGGGAGAAAAAAACAAGTGACTTGAGAATATCAAACCAATGGTAGCATTCAGTAAAAGCAAAAGTGATAGAGGATAATACAATGGTTAACATTTCTTTGCCTCTATGTAGCCTACAGGAAACTGTCACTTACCTTACCTCATTTAAGCATGGTAATAAACAGAGGGAAGGATTGAACCTAAGTGCCCTGACTTCAAAGCCCCTGTAGCTTACGCCACACAAGAGTAACCTGTTTGGGAGACTTTCACATACATTTTTAAATGTTTAATTTAAGGTAACAGAAGGACATTCAAAAGGAAATATCTAGCAGGCAATTGGAGAAATAGGACCAGAATTTAGGGAAGAGATCAGGTCATACACTATAGGTTTAGGCATATCCCCATAAAGCTGATGAGAGGTTGAAACCACGACAGGAAATGAGCTCTCAAAGGAATTAAATTAGAAGAAGACTATGAGAGCCAAGTTCTGATATGTGGGAGGTGGCAGGTGGGAGGAGGAAGTGAAACCAGGGAAGAAGATGGAGAGGAAGTAGTCAGTGAGCATGCATGTGGAAGAGAACCAAGACAGTAGAATGCCACAGCCCCACAAAGAGGAAAACATTTCCAAGAAGGAAGGGATATTCACTTGTATTAGGTACTGCAGAGGCACCAAAAGAGAAATGGTGGAGGCGTAGTATTGAGTTTAGCAGTTAGGAAGCCATTGATTTCAGGGTCAAGGTCTTTAGTGGTCAACCAAAGATGCTTTTTCAAGCATGAGGGCTGCTCCAGATAAATTCACCAGATTAAGAAAATCAGAAAGTTAGGCTGTTGCAAACACAGTGGGATTTTACAAGACCCCTACTCTGAGTTGCTAGCTCTGCCAGTCAGCTTCCAGAGGATTTCATGACACTGAAGGTCAAAAACATCTGAAGGACAAAAGCTGGCACCATTTTAAATAAAATGATGTTTAATTGGATGCTCGAAATACATTTTAATGAAAAAAGGGCTGCTTGAAAATGTAAAGTAATATACTTGTTGGAGGAAAGAATTCTAGTAATTCCTCTTTTTTTTTCCTTTTGCAGCATCCATTTTTAAAATTAGCCAAGCCTCTCTCCAGCCTGACTCCTCTGATTATCGCTGCAAAGGAAGCAATTAAGAACAGCAGCCGTTAGGACTGCAAGCCTTACCCCACACCATCTCCCTCATGAGTAAGACTGAAATAAAACTCTGCTGCAGGAAAGATGGAAGAAAAGACAGTCAAATGGGGTGGGAGTTCTTTAACTTTCAAATGAATAGAAACTTCTTATAAGCCTTTTTCCTATTCCCTCAGATTATGTAATTTATTTGTAAGCCTGAATCGCAGCCCAAACAGGGCAGCAATGTCGAAGTGGCCGTAAAGTGGTCACTTCCACCGTGAAGCGAAAGAGCCAGTAGTGAATCCCCTCATTTTGTGCATTCACTTTGACGAAAAAGGTTTCTCAAAGATGCACACTCCCTCTTCATAGTGTTGTATTTGTTTTTAAGTTAGAGAGTAGTCCCTCTTGCATTCAAACCTCCTTCAAAACTCCTTACCCAATGTGATGTTTTTCACTTGCATTGTCATTAGATGTCCAGACAAAAGATGTCAAAACTTTTTTAAAAAAAGAAAGCAAAAAGACAAAAACAAAACAAAAACAAAACAAACAAACAAAAAAACCCCAGAGCAAGTACTGTGTAAACATGTGGAAGTCCATGCCCTAATAGAGTTGCAATTTTTTATTCTTCTTCTATAGTGGTGGCTTGGTTTGTGTACCTGTTTTTCTGCATTTGTATTGGAAAAAGTTTCTTTCAAGACATTTTCCAAAACCAGAGAGGAATATATGTGTTCAGGAAGGGCTTTTAAAACCTGTATATCTAAACAAAGCTCAAATGGTGAAATCTTGTCACATTTTCACTATGATGCTTAAAAGGTAGTTGATTTATCATTTATATAAGCCAGATTGTTTGTCTTCATGATACCTGAAAAGGATACACCGAAACTGTGGCACTCCTGTTGGGTGAGTCCACGTCTGGAACCTAGAAAAATCTGACGGGAGAAACCATACTTAAACAAAGATGGGACTTTCTCTGAGAGCCAAAAGGAAAACAAGTGTGCAATACTGAAATCCTTGTTGGGCAGTAAGTAAACAAAGAGAAAGATACCTAATTTAATCTTCTCTTGTGCTTGTGGAACATATGCAATGTAAAATAGGCACATCAGGAGGAAACAGACCCCTTACCCCACATTTGCTTATGATAAAAAATATTTAATTTGACGATTTATGGCATTTTAAAAATTAAAAAACAAGATCTGGAGAACAGAGATATTGTACGCATTCAATTCTCTAAGAAATAGGAGGTCAGTGAAAACCACATCCCAATCAACATTTGGCTCTAAATATTTGTTCCCCTTTTCCTTATGTATCACCAATTTCTGTTTCAGGATACGGTATGTTCATACTTTTAATCCTTTGGGCTTTTGAATTTCAAAAACATGTTCATAAAGATCTGGAAGTTCTCGAGTGAAAATAATTCAGGTTTGCAATCATATATTCCAAGAAATATTAGTCCAACTGAATTCCTTTTATGGCTTGGAAAAAAAATATGAAAATTTGACTATTTCACCAAGTATCTGTTTATTAAAAATTCAACAGTTGGCACTTCCGGACTCTTCTGAGAGTAGAAAAATATTCTAGAGGGTGTCTGCGTAGAAAAGAATATGCTCCTCTTTCGAGTGTATTGTCAGTTTTACAAATTCTGCAAAGTTGTTTCTCTGAGCCTTTGAAAAGCTAACAATTTCTGCTGTAGAAGGCTTCTTGATTTGTAGTGTATCAAGAATCTGAATCTACTAACCATATAGTGCACGTGTTTATGTTTGGGAGATAACATCACTGGTGGATTTCCTATTTTCCTATTGTTTTCTTTGACTATAAAATTGGGGAGGAGCTTGACCCCCCAGAAAGTGTCCAAACTTGAATAAAACAACAAATATGAAAAGAAAATCAAATGGTAATATTAATTTGAAGCATACTCTGTTATACTTTGCAAAAAGGTGGCTGGGCCTGAAATTTTTAATGCCACGCTGTTCTAATGAGAGAGAGAGAGAGAGGCCTTAGTTTTTATTTTATTTAAAATGAAGGGGTTTTTTTCAATTTTTTATTCGTAGTGCCAGGGAATTCAATAAAATAATACCTGGGATATGAATAGAATTAGTACATTGATAACTATGCCTTGCCAGTGGAGAGAGCCCCTAACCTGGTTGGGAAGACCTAGTTGTCAATTAGTATCCCTTATATGTCATAAAGGCCATTTTTGGTGGGGGGAGACCTGGAGCAGTGATCCTTCAGATCACTGTAGGCAGAGAAATGGCTGCTCTTTTATGCTTTCAATTCAGCATATCAATGAGGAGCCACGTACTTCTTCACCACACCCCGTTGTATCAAGATTTTATGATAATATATCCCAGTAGGCTTTATTCTTAGAAATTTATATCTATGTAAGTTTTAAAATGAGAACAGCTTCTAAAGACCCTTCCCCGTGTTAGAGAGTTATGTATATTTCTAATAAGTATTAGAGAGAAGCTGTTTCTCCTGCCAAAATGATGCTGAAGGATTCACATTTGGTACACTTGAACAACTTGGACTCCAGATGGTTAATAGTTTATTCCTTTTCCCTGAATTTCTTTTAGCTTATCTTGACATAGGTGAGTCTATCCAGATCTTTAAATTTGCTAATGTGCCCTGAGATAATGAGGGCACATCACCGAATGTTGATTCCAAAATGTCCTGAGATAGGGATAGGGCAGTGGGAAAGTCAGGGAAGGGTGAGAAGCACAGTTGAGATTATTTATTTAAGAAAGAAAAGAACATTAATGTTGTAGCAAGGATCCGGTGCGTTGTCATAATCCCATGAGGATTTTTGGATGACACAATCTCCTCAAATCAGTCATCATGTTGGGTAATGACTTCATTCTTGCTGATCTCGTATATGTCTCATTGTAAATATTTGTGTGTCCATGTTCCATTTTGGCTACTGGATGGCCAAGTCATGTAAGAAGATTTAACTCAAGTATTTATTATTTAATTATGTTCTTCAGATTTCTTTCAGGCTTGTGAATTGCACCTCAATGTTTGAGTTTAACCACCTGATCCCCACATCTATCCCTCCCCTGTGAAGCACATTCCATTGCTAAAGGAAAAAGAAATATGAAATTGCTTCCTATCGTCTGTATAACTGTTTTGATAGTTTGAGATGTTTGTCTATAAAGGATATTTCTCAGCTCAAAGATTGTGTAAATAATTATTATATTCCTTTGCTCAATGGGTTGTTTATTTCTAATGAGGCTGCCAGTTCTCAGAATCTATAAAATCACTTTTAAATAACATAAACAGGGATTACAACTATGTAAAAATAAGTGTGCATATGGACAAAGACTGGGAACACAGATAATTGAAATTGGTTGTGTTAGGGTGGTAGGATTATGCAAAATTTTTTTCTTTTTAAAATTTTCTTTGATATTGTTATAATATTGCTTTATAGTAAATAAACATCAGAAAGGGGACTATAGAAACATAGAAAAGATGCCAGAAGCAGAAGCCTTCTGGCCAGAGCCCAGAGCATGCAGGGCACAGATATTGCTAGTTAAAATTTTTCCGTAGGCTTTATATTTGCCTGGGTGCTGAGGTTGGCGCACGCTCGGGTATGGCACGTGCTTTCTTAGGGGACTATTATCTATAAGTTAAAGCTAGGGAGATGTTGCCGTTAGAACTCCAAACACATCCTTCTGCTTTACAACTGGCTGCCCTCTGCTTTGATATGGCATCGAGATTTCTGTTTTGGTTTACTTTAGATTTGAGGGGTGACATTTGATTAGCCCCCTTGATAACATCTGTTTCAGGTATCGCCTTTCTGGATCATTTTAGCAGATTTTCAGGTTGGATTTAGGAAGAACAGAAGGATAAAATCCCCAGCTCCCACCATTTCCTTGTCCAACAGGATATTGTATCATTCAGGTAGGATTCTTCTTTTAATGACCAGTAGGCAAGTCCCATTGATTTCAATACAAATTGTGACTTGCACTTAAAAGCTGACTATGAAAACATTAAGGCAAATATTTAGAACTGCCTTTACCTGTTGGCATTCAGTCACAGTCCTATTAGCTTTGGCTTGAGATGGCCTCCATGTGCTTTCTGTACTGCCTGATTATAGGTTGTATGCAGTAACTACTGTCATTTTTAAAGAGAAAAAGGGAGACTATCTACCAAAAGAGAGGAATTTCCTTCTAACTCACCAAAGAAATTTTAGGTGAGGACTTTTATAATGAGATAGTGGCTTCAGATGTTACTCGGTTTCACCAAGAGCAGACCTTATACCTAGAGAACCCACAGGCATTTCACTGGCCATTCGCAGCATAAAAATACTCATGGGAGTCTTAACCCTGCCAGCCCCAGTTGAATCTCGTGGTGGTTTTCTGAGCTACTTGCAGTTAATATTCAGTTAAACAAAGGCATGGCCAGTGATGCAAGCTTCTCCCAGTCTCTGAGCAGGAAGACTTAAATTCAGCATTTGTATATTGACAGTCTAATAGGCCTTGGATTTTGAGTGAACTTAACACACAACTCTGAACATATATTTGCATGTGGATTGGGAAGGAAATAAATGGGACCTTGGAAATAATGAAAATATTTTTCCTAAGAAAGAATTTTTCATACGAGATTTGTTTCTGATGTAATCTTTCTGTTGGTTAGCTTTAATTTTTTCACTCCTTTTCTGATCCCACACTCCTTTAGTGACCAAATGAATATAACCCAACTCCTCATGCATTGGGAATGTCTGTTTAACATTAAACAATATCTAACTGAATCTGCCAATGCGGGAACTAAGATATCACCTCCATGTGCACACTTTTGTGTACTATAATACAACAAGTAGTATTTACTGTCACGTAATATAGTCAAACTTGTTAGATAAACTTATAGAAGCTGGCTAGTGCCATCAGAGTCTCCTTTGGAAGCTGCCATCAAGTGGATGCTATCCCATAATACCAGCAGTAAGGTAGGTACCCTGTTCACCTGATTTGGTACCTAAGAGGAAATCAACAGCAATTTCAGAGAATCAGTCAGGAGTAGTGGAAGGAGTACATACGAGCCTAGGAGTAAGGAGACGTAGATTCTAATATAGGCTCTGTTACTAACTTACTGTGTGACCTTCAGCAAGTCACTTAACCTTTTCATGGCTGTTTCCTCATGTGTAAAAAAAGGATATTGGACTAGATGATCTCCAAGGTGTTTCCAAAAGCTCTAACTTTCTATGGTACTATACGTTGTGTTGCAAATTCAACCTGCTAAAGTGATGGCGAATATCACATGCTTAAGCCTGGGTCTCTTATGTTACAGTTAAACAGTAGAACTATGTAAGATGTTGGAGGAAAAACTCAAGTAAATCAAGTTAATAATACTGGGGAATGTTGATAAAATTTGTGGCAGCCTTCCAATTCCTTCACAGTTTTTTTGTTTTGTTTTGTTTTTGTTTTAATGTCCTTTTTCTATTGAGTGTTCCCAGTTGTCATTTTCCATATACTGTGTATGTAAAGTCTGGTTTTCATTAAGCTGTGGCCAGTATTTGCTACTAGAACGGAAATACACTGTCATACTTGCTAGAATAGAACTATACTTGGGCCTCTCCTTTCCTATGAAGCAGTGCTGGGCTTTATAGAGTTTACTTTTTAAATGGCACAAAATGGCAGAACCCATACAATTTAATAGCTGGGACTACTAAGAGTGGACCTAAGCACTTGAAGAGAACAAAATGAAAAAAGTAATTACATGCTATTAGCACTAAGGAGTTTTGACAAATCCACTTGTTGAGAACCAAAGATAGCATTTCTGATGACAACTCTCACAGTGATTGGCCAGTTGTATGAGTATGCTGCTGGAAAGAGGGTAAACTGGAAGTTAGTGGACAGTCCCAATGCCCTGCCTACAGCAAAGTGCCAACCAGCCCTGAGTGCAAAATACAAGTTCAATGTGCGTGCTTATGTGTGGTGTGCTTTATGGACCCGCATATGCTATATTCATTAGTGATGATAAGACCTTTCACAGAATCCTGTGACAATTGGTGGGTTGAGTTTTAAATCTCAGTACATCAGCCAGGAGGAGCCAGGTCACAGGATACTGATGTCTACTGGGATTATACTCATAATATCCAGACAAAACAAGTTGAGGAGGATCTACATTTTCATTGTTTATCAGAATTGTATCTCATTTGGCTGTGC